TGAATTAATTAAAGATGAATTAAACGAAGCCTCGAGGCAGAGAATTTGACTCGAGGACTTTTTGTACTCGAATTATTCGAGGTACTCGAGGAATCGTTTCAGCCCTAATATATATATTTACTCAAAGCACAACAGAGGTGAGCTCTACACTTGATTAAATAAATACTCAGATATGCAGCATGTAACAAAGAACTCAGCGTGTACGCATTTTATTGTTGGTATTGAACACCAAAATGAGCCCCATCGAAGCACTGAGCCTGGCTGAACACGGAAATTATGCCGACCAGAAAAATGAACCGAGACCAGCAACAGGTCAGTCTACCACGACACTATAGCTTGATGACAGCTATTTTACGTCTGCCATGAAATCTGGCCCAAAAACAGGTAGCACTTTTGGGCTCGACACACGGGAGGCGACATCGCCTCTCCTCCATTCATTTTCAATGAGACATGCGCAACAAAGCGATAATCGCGGGTCTCCCTCCTACTAAGCGAAACGCAAAAACGTGTGAAATTTTGCGCTCGTGCACAGGCGACCCAGCGACGCGATCCCAGAAAGTTGAAATATTTTCAACTTTTCATCGCTGTCGCTCGGATAAGGACCAATCAATGGAGGTTTCAATCACTGACCAATGAGCGGACATAATGCTCTGTACAACTCCGAGCAAACATGGAGAAGTTGATTATTATTATGTTTTATATAGTAAATCAGAAGTAAGATTTCACATAACTCTAGCAGCACCTTGTGAAACATCAAATCTACCACTTTATTAACTCTGAACCGCTTAAATAACCATAATTCCCTCCAACCTGACACAGCCAAGCAAAACAACGGAAGTTTCGATTTCGCCATGGAACGGAACGCGTAGACGGCTTTGCCGCTGCGGATCGCCTCCCGTGTGACAGGTAATAAAAGCGACAGCAACGAATTTCGCTGATCGCGGTCGTTTGTCGCCTCCCGTGTGTCGAGCCCCTTATTGGCCAGTGGCTGACCATGACCGCTTCATATCGGTATCAGCAATAGAGAAACCAATATCAGTCCACCTTTATTTCACACCTTTAACTTATATCTACTTATTGTTTCCTCAATAAAGATATTGCACCTCGTTCTTTCTGTCTCTTAAAACTTGTTAATCCTTTAAATCTTTGTTTTAAATTATATCATATAGGGTTTTTGTCCTTTTTGTTCGTTTTATGTAAAGCACCTTGTTTTTATGATACATCACATGCTGTAACCACATACTACATGAGAACATCATCGTAGGAAAGTGTGAATTCCTTGTTTTCTCTGCAAAAAAAAATCTTGTTGAAAATATCGGAGTTTGTTGGATAAAGAAAATAGGGAGAGCACAATTTCTTTCTGTAGGGCTTCTCCAATAGCAAGGTGAGTGATTAAACAGAACCACACACTGTTGATTGAGTCAGTGATGATGTTGCAACACATTAGTCATCAGCTTCTCTGATAGGATTGGATGGAGTGATGGAAAACCTGATTATGTAAGTGCTTGGTTTGACTCACTACAGGAAGCAACTGGTTATATGAAGGAAAGTCAGATCAACATTGCGTCTAAACGTGTGGAACAACAAGATCAACAAAACAATTTTTAATTCTTTTATAATATTTTCAATATTTGAAGCTGTGGCTCGTTACAGTCAGCAATATTGCGACTTTTGCACTTAAAAGGTTAAAAGGAGCTTAGGTATTAGCAACACCTGTGAAAATGTATCTGCAGGAAACAAATGTTTATTGAAGTCTTTTGTAGGGCTGCTCAATTCATCGAATTTTAATCCCAATTACAATCTGAGTTTTGAACAATTATAAAAACAAGACAAGCCGATTATTTGCTTCTCCCTCTTGCGCTGCCCCGAGTTGCAAACCAAGTGCTCCTCCCACAGTGTTGCTAACTTTAAGACTTTGGAGCCATTTCCAACAGCTTTTCAGACCCCCTCCTTAAAAGGACCAAACGAACACCCCAGAAACATTTCTGGTAACCCTTAACCACTTTCTGGACAACTGTGGTTGACATTTCCTGCAGGTTAGAAAACACTCCGCCAGAGATCGGGACCGTCCTTCAGGATAGTAGGAAAGGGAATGATGTAGTGATTCATTACATTAACTGATGGGACCTGTAAATGAATAGTTTAGAAATAAGGAAGAAATAGACAGAAATAAGTTCCTCACGCTGCTAATGATAAATAATAATTAATCTCTCTGAGACTGAGGACACGTTGCTAGTGCACTCTCCTACATCACCTAGACAGGACTAAATAAATATTATGCAACATTTTGTGAACATCACTAAACATAGATGTTTATGTTATAAATGCCACAGTATAATTCTTCCTGTCAGCATTTGCAATATATTGGTTTTATGGTCTATACTGGTTAGGCTTAAACGAGTGAAAACAAGGTCTACAGCCCTTGAGTCATAAACTTTGAGCAACTATACTGATCTTTTTATTCTAGGAATCAGGAATAACTTTTATGATCTGGTTTCTTTCTTTTTCTTCTTTGTCCCGATTGTGCCCTGAGCAATTTTATGAACAAAAAACAAATAAAATCAATCAACATTAAATAATCGAGACCTCAAGTTCAGTCACAATAATCGTGATTATCATTTTTGCCATAATTGAGCAGCCCTACTCTTTAGTGTTTAATGTTTTTGACGTCTTGTCTATGCAGAGCTTCTGTAGTTCAGTTGCGTCCATAGCTGCTAGCCAAACCTCAGTGGAGTTAAAGTCTCTTGTGTTTTCTGGATTTATTAAAATATCTGTCTGTACTTTTTTGATTGATGGCAGTTTTTGCTTTTTATTAGACTCCAAAAGTAATCATTTAGCATGTTCCTAAATTATAATTTGTAAGAATGTAATCAGTGATATTATCAATAGCATCCCGTAGAGTTTTTCAATGTATATTAGCAATGTGCTAACCACTCTCTGCCAGTCAAATCGCAGCCTTTGCGATTAGAAAATCTTTTTTGTCACATCACAATTTAATTGCATATAATTTCCCTACTTCAAACTAGAAGCTAATGATGGGTATATTAGAGCATCCTGGACTAATCATCAACAAAACTGATGATTAGTCGACTATTTAGTCATTTGTGGCAGCCCTACAGAAGACGACGTGAAAACATTACCACTGCTGCTGCATTGAAATTCACTAGTCTCTGGAGCTGGTCAAAACAAAGACATTCACTTTAAGTGTTCGCATATTTTGTACGTAAATGCTATTGCATGTTTGTAGTGTATTCTCCATTGATTAAATAAACATTCTGCAAGTAATTCAAGTTTCCCTGTTGTTGTCCTTTCTCTTAAAGGATACCCAAACTTTTGAGCGTTTGTGCCACTTAGAGGCCATTCTTCCTTCCCAGTAAAGCCTGACTCCGGTTTCACACTGCAAGTATCAGCGGAACGGAACAGCAGCGGAGCGGCTCACTCGCGAACTTTAAAGCGGTCCTTTTCACACCGGGAGAGTCTTGGTCGCGGCACGGCTTCCTCGCTGTGCCTCGTTGTACCCGCGAGATTCTAAAATCCCTCAAGACTTCCGACACCTTCCTCATCGAGAGATCACAACCCCTGCGAAGAATCGCACCGTTGCACTCCTCGAAAGAAACTGGTGGTAAACAAAGCTGTTCGGTCACACTTACTGACGTAAGTTATATATAACATTGTAACGTTGCATTTTATTTTGAAAATAACCGGGTATTTTACACTGAAACCGTGTGGTTTCCTGTCTCGCACTATGTGAACTGCGGGAATTGACGTGTCCCAGAAGCGGCTCCCGGAACAAATAGAACTCGATGTTGTCCTGGCAGAGAATTGCTTTGCAACACCCCTTGGGCAAACGGGGAAGTATGACAGCAAAACGCTTCCATCAATCCGTGCATGTCTGTCCCTTGTGGAGCTGACGCAGAAGCATGACTCAGGCTTAAACGCGTAGCTCGTTTAAGCTACACAACATGAGTGGTGATGTAATTTGCGCCAACTGGAATTCATAATGGAATCGTATGCAAAAATGGCAAATGATTCCAAGGAACTGCAACTGTGGGAACCAGTTCTCAACAAGAACCGGTTTTCAATTCCCAACCCTAGTATTTACCATCTTGTACTTGGACGTAGAAATGTATAAACATCTCTGACCATGTATATGAGCAGTATCAAGTGGTAAAACGGTCACTTTTAAAGGTATTGGTCATCGACACACGTTCATCCACAAATTGCTTTCACCTAATAAGTAATTATATCTGTGGAGTAAAAGCTTCATCACATAACTGGTGTTAAAACCTATAAAAGACACCTTGCTTCCATCAGTGTCCCCATGACAGCTGTGGCTGCTATGTAGCTCATCACCAACAGTGTGAAAGGGTGTGTCATGCCTTGGGGGTTGTAGAAAGCGCTATATATAAATAAAGGACATTTATTCTTTGGAACTATTATGAATATAACTCAAGAATAAACGTAAGTATGCTTTGATTCAATGTAGGCATTTTATTTTTCTGGTTATGCTTTAGTTGTAGTGAACTATGAATAGATCACCTTCATCTTTGCTTTAAAGCAGCCAACCTGCATTAATTGTCTACAGTCTGTATTTCTCTGTATGAGCTGCCTTAACGAGTGGATTTTCCCACTGTGGGATCAATAAAGTATATCCTAATGTATTCTACTCCCTTATACTTCACCGTCAGTAAATGGGTAAATATAACAAACTCTCACCCAGTAAAAATGCAAGTGTTTCTGAAACCACGGTCTGGTCGGTCATTTTGCTCACAGACTAACGTCGTTTACAAGGAAAAAAGAAACAGGAACTTAAACATAGCCTTTAGCTTCACAGCTAGCGTCAGTTTCGTTGTTTTACACAGTATCCATTATTACGACGCTCACAAAAGACAACTGCTACCAAAGTCGAGCACAATTAAACTCGATTAAACTTTACAATAGCCGGCCTTTATCCTCTTTTAATGCCGAAGTGAACAGAAAGAAACGTGAAAATTACATACCCAAGTAGATGTCTCCAAATGATCCACTTCCAATTTTTCTGCCCAGCCTGTATCGGTTTCCGACTCTCAACTCCATGTTGACAAAATCTGACAGGCTAGCAACTACACTCGCTAGCTCCAATATTTGTAACAAAACTCTAATTTGTTCAAACGCAACACAATATTAAAAAAATATGAATCCAAAATCCTGTTTTAGCGATATATTTCGTCTACTCAGGATTTGTGGGCTTCTTTTTCGCCTCCTTTTTCACAATATTATTAACATAATCTATAAACAATACGATGCTTGTCGGAAAGGTCAGCGCTTGTTCTTTCTGCTCCTGCTATTGTTAAAAACCAGTACGCGTTTATTTTACACGGATGAAGCTGGATTTCGAAGCTAGGTACCAGCTCCGGTACTCTGGCTTACAGATACTAGCTTAGAGCTTGCTAGGCAATTTATCGGAGGAGTTTGACGTCACTTCCTGGCAAGATGAGCGGAGAGGAATCCACCAGAGAGCATGTTAGTGAAGATACACCTATTAGTAACGTTTTGTTCCTTTGTTTGTACGGTTTGTGCAGATTAAATGTAGCAATATGAAAAACGTAAAATAACGATAAAGCTTTTTGTATTGCAAATACAATACTCAAACATTTTTAATAGCTACTAGAACATTACATCTGTTCTTGTTTACTGATAGAGACCAATCTTCACTAAATCATTGTGTCTGGTCTGTCATAACAAAAGATTGTTTCCTTTGTCCTCTTGGCCTCTGTCCATCATGCACTGTCCATCTCTCATGAACTTGTAAAAACTGAAATAAAATTAGGCAAGACCTAGATAGTTGTGAAATAACACCAGAAAATCTTGCCTGAATTAATGTTGAATGTTGTTGAATGTAAAAAGTTAAAACCGTAAAAAATGTCCAAGAAATTCTGCAATGGAAAAACGGCTCAGGTCAGCTTAGTTTAAGTTGTTTTTCCAAGTTAAGCTGAGATACGGCTACATGGGTGCACACCAGTCGTGTGCACATGCCCCATGCAATCTCACCCAACATAAAGTAGCGAAAAAGGATCTGTAAACAGCGTAAGGGGGTCTGTATGCCACACATGGATGCTTGCTTTCCTCTTAGGTTGTTTATGAAATTATATTATGACATAGTATCTTATTTACACTATTTTATTTCCTCCTAACTTAAAAGTTATTACGCAGAGCTGTTTATAAAGTGTAGTGCTTAATTTAGTTTAAGCTATAGAATGTCTATTATAGACTTTGACATTATCAGAACCATATTTTTGGTGTCAAATATAGCACTAGCCTACGTGTAGCACTGATTTTAGATGCACCCTTACAAGGGTGTCTTGTAAAATAAACTCCTTCACCCACAGCTACTGTTGTTATGAGAAGCTGCTGTATTGAACCTTGAAGTTAGAAAAACAAATTCCCAGACTTTCAGAGGGTCATCTGACTTCTGGGAGCGTTCCAGCTAATTGTTCCTACTCTGAAGTTAGAATATTCGAGTCCCCCCAATGGAACACACCATTTGACTCCCTGTTGGTTTTAATATAATATAAAATAATATAATTTAATATAATATAATATAATATAATATAATATAATATAATATAATATAATATAATATAATTTTAAATATATTACAAGGACAATGTCCTTCCTTGGTCAAAGAAAATGGTTAAATGGAACAGATTTGCATCACGTGACGTGGGAGATAAATTTTATACGTATAAGTTTCAATTTTAAAGCCTTTTACTTTTTAAATTGTGTATATATTTGTAAAATTAAATATGTAAGCAAGTTACTACTTGCTAGCCACCGAAGCTGCATTTACTAAGCAACTAACCAACCATAGCTAACATCTTTGGATCTAAAAAAACATTTCAGATATTTGCCCAATAGCTACAATTAGTCGATTTACATTTGAACTTGAAATTTGCTCACAAAGTAGCTGCCGGCTTCTGATCCACCATCCTTTTGAAAATGCCGCTGTGTATTCTGAGACATTTTTGACCAAGGCTAGGCTACATCCTATCCTTGCTCAGCTAGTTAAACAGCTAACAAACAGAGAGCGAGACGCCTCAGTAGAACATGAACATTGGAACACGCCTTGGTGGTTCCTGGTGAAGTATATCCTAGGTAACCAGGGCGGGGCCAAGACATCAAGGCAAGGTTCCTTGGCTATGAGAAACACCCAAGGTGTCTGCCTCACAGACTAAAGCTGGGACCTGGTTCCACAAGAGAGGAGCCTGATAGCTAAAAGATCTGCCTCCCATCCTATCATTAGATATTCTAGGAACCATCAGTAAACTTGCAGTCAGAGAGAGACATGCTCTGTTAGGAACATATGGAACAATCAGGTCACTGATGTATGATGGAGTTTTTTTTGTTATTAAGAGTGACTTAATATGTGAGAAGATGGACCTTAAAATCTGTTCTAAATTTAACAGGCAGCCAATGTTGGGAAGCTAAGACAGGAGAGATGTGATCTTTCTTTTTAATTTTCATCAGAACTCTAGCTGCAGCATTTTGAACAGATGATTGAGGTCATCTTCACCAGCATCCTCCTATCACGACATTCTCAACTGAATCCAGATGACAGCCCAGAATCAAGCTAGCTTTTATGACTAGCTTGTTCAGTTTCTTCCTGTGCTCCAGTCACAGGGGAATAAAACATTCATATTTTTAGAGTTTTTCTGCTACATATTCTTCAAGCTTCTCCATGCCTGCCGCTAGATATCCTCCACTCTCTGTATGATTTTGAGGGCGCAATGGCAGCGCTGTAGATGACAGTGGCGTCCTGACCAATCACAAGCTTACGTTTTCAGTCTCGACGGACGGATGTTTAGAAAAGAAAGCTTGACTCCATCCATCCTTGCGAGCCTGATGGAGAGCCTTCGAAAGGCTGGATAATGGTGTTGCGTGTGTCCATCCTGACGCAGATGGAGAAGTATAAATTAGGCCTAACTCTGAAGGACCTCAGCCTCTTCAGGAGGTGGAGACAGCTTTGGCCCTTCTTATACAGCGCATGTGTTGTTGGACCAGTTTAGTGTATCGTTGAAGTGAACATTAATGTATAGATGCTCACGTACTCCATTAGCCACTAGTTTGTGATTTGTAAATATTTATTAAAGAGAAATTTCAACACTGTTTTTAAACATTATAACTGGTCTTCTCCTAATTGTACAGTAGGTAGGCCTACATTGAGTCTTCAAACCTGGATTTAAGTGTTCTATAGCATTGGAAGATGCAGAGCAGCACTTCTAAGGATTCTGCTACTGATCAGTAAATAAAGTACAGGTTTTTGGATATTGTCATTTTCGAGCAATCTCCTCTAATGTCCAGAAGCAAAAAAAAAAAAAAAAAGAAAAAAAAAGTGATGAAATCTGATATTTTTTTTACTTTCATGAAATAAGGTTGAAATTAGTTGGAAATGCTTTTTTTTTTAATTGGAAGCTAAAAATGGAAAGCACTTCTAGCTTCATTATGATGTGGCGTTAGGGTAAGGCTAATTTCCTTTTTATTCTGAAGGGCTGAGTTAAGAAAGTATTTTAACCAAAACCCGCCTACTTCCTGTTCCCGTTTCTGCCAAACATGTCGTTGATGGAAAAAGAAAACCTCACCCTTGTTCGAGAAAATGCAGAAAACTTGGAGGATGGAAATAAAGACATTCGGTAATCTTCCCAGAATAATTAGAACAAATTTCGTCCTTTACTTTTGTGACATGAACTACTGGTTAAGCTACATTTCTGAGCATGTCTCTTTAATAGTAATTTGTCCTTATATAGTATAATATAGAATGGGATGTTTTAGTCGGTGCTTGTCGTTGGTGTTACGTGATGACTGCTGTCAAGGGAGCCGACACTTAAAAAAGAAGCAGTTAATCTAGCCGACACACGGATTTTACGTGCGCCATTACACTAGTCATTACGATGTCGTGGTTCGAGAGAGCCTTTCAAAATAAAGGCGCACCTCCAGTACGTGTCTGAAACAAGCTGATGGACGTCGTTCAAAGCTTGGGTTTATGTTTCATTCACTTTTAAGAGAAAATTGTGGTTTAAAAAACTTTATTATTAAAAATACTTACAATTAAAAGAAACAGATTTGTCATCCATTAATAGTAAATTCTAAAAATATTCAGGTGAACTAAATTAGCTTTTTATTCATATTTTTTATTTCAACACCTTTCCACCCCATTCTAAAAGTAAAGTACTCTAGAAAAAGTTATCTTGTACTACATCCTTCACATCCATATCTGATATGGCATTTCAAAATAAAATGCAATCATAGTAGACAAAATAGAAAATTTTCACTCGACAAAAAGTCATTTTTCTCCATATTCAATGGCTAATTTCTCAAAAACCCTCACGAGGGTGTACCCGTATCCACAAATGGCTCTGACTGCTATCCCATAGCTACGAGAACAGCCAATAGCTATAGCTACGAATTGCCCGGACGGTCTCCTTTACGTTAAAGGTTTTGCGATAGGTCAACACTTAACTGAGAAGCGTTGATTTGGCAGTTTAAAGTGCAGTAGTTCAAAACTTTGTTCATATATGACGTTTAATTAACCCTCTCAGGCTCAAAATAAGTTTTGATAAAAGGATGAACAACTAAGTCCTTCAGAGGAATTTCTGAGTTAAAAATACTGATGAAATACGTGTGTGGAGTAACCAGGTAGGTCGGTTTTAACGTTGCTAATCTGCAACGCCTACCTCCAGAGGGTTAATGTCTTTGGTGTACTTTGAACTTGTGCTCTGTCATATCTCCATGGGTCCCCGGAAGAACGAAAACATGAATGCAAGTCATTGGAGCTAATCCCATTTGTTATGTGCCACGAATCTCACATATGATGTCCGTGAATTTTAAAGATGGGTTCTGATGGTAAGAAAGCGCATATTTTCAGCAGGGCAAACGTTATTTTACGTTTTGTGTGATAATACGTCCAGGCCTACAATGTCCAAATTAGCGTTATTGAGCCAGAAACAGAGAAAAGCAGAGGTTAAATGGCTCTGAGTTTAGCGAACTTCGAGTTCTTCGTCCAGGAGGAAAGAACCACATGAAACCTCACCATCTGGGAGATAGCAGATATGCTAGGGCAGTGGAGACTCTGGTGATGTCATATTTGCGACGTGCAGACGTCTGATTTGTAGTCACAGGAATTACGAACTTTTACAAGCTGATAAATCTCAAAGTATGTGAAAGGTGTGGTCGAAACGCACATCATTACTTTTCATTTAAATTGCAGTACAACATATTTCAACATACTCTAATTCCCTGGGTCCTCTGCACTCATGTATTCAGCACCAGAACACCACTAGTGTGAGAGGTTCTCCGCTCAATAATATCAGAGATGGAGAAACAGCTGACTGCTACCACTTCAACTTTAGGACAAACTGCCAGAGCCACAAAAAGAAAAACACCATTTGAAGTCTGATAATTGATAAAAAACATTTGGATCTAGAAAACTTTGACTAGTGTTTAGCGCTCTCTCATTTCCTCTGGCAATGCGGGTTCTGGTTCCAACAAACGTAACCCAGGGATGATACCCAACAGGATGGGTAAGTGTTCTGTGACAGTTTGGCTTTAAAAGCTAACTTGTTTTGTAGACATGCTATTGCAGCATTAAATATGCTTTTTAACGCTCTGGAGGCAGGCGTTGCAGATGTGCAACAGTTAAAACCTACCTACCTGGTGACTCCACGTACGTATTTCATGAGCATTTTTTAACTCAGAAGTTCCCCTGAAGGACTTAGTTGTTCGTCCTTTTATCAAAACTTATTTTGAGCCTGAGAGGTTAAGAAAAATGAAAAAAGTATCCTCAATATACCACCCTGACATGTCACCAGGTTAGAGTCCTGTTTAGATCAGCCAATGGAATCGAGCATTCATGAGGTGGTCAAGTATACACCCTCTCTTCTACCAGGTCAGTCAGCTGTCGTTAGAAACAGTGTCACCCTTAGTGTTTAAGATGTGTGTCATACTGCTTGTTTTATTTTCTTCTAGCAAAACATTATGATACTGAGACCACCGAACCAGTCAGCTATGGTCTTTGCACAATGGAGGAGTTGTTGTCATGGAGACGAAGCGTGGCAAACCCTTTCAATGTGGCATCAGTCTGTCTGGCACCTCGGGTGCCCAGTCTGGCCAGGTGTTCGCGTCGGACTTTGGTATCTCATGACATGATGGGCGGCTACCTGGATGATAGGTAAGTATTGATGGTCAGCAACTTATTGCTTAAAGTTCTTTTTCTTGCACTATTATTTATATCCTTGTAAAATAACTTTTTTCTTTTTTTTTTGCATTTTTCTTCCTTTCAAGGTTTGTCCAGGGCACAAATGTAGAAAATCCGTATACCTTCTACCACTGGCAGCACATAGATATTTTCAACTACTTCACACATCAGTTGGTGACTATTCCTCCTGCTGTGTGGACCAATGCCGCTCATAAACATGGAGTCATTGTTCTTGGTGAGGGGAGTTGAACAACCAGTGTTTATAACAGAAAAGTTTGTTATTGTCCAAATTATTCAGAGAGCCATTATAAAAGAAATAGGTTCACACATTAATTTTGCATATTAAAACTTTCCTGAGACCCAGATGTAAAGGTGTGATTCACTGAAAAAACATTCTGAGTTTTTCATTTAATTCAATTCAAGATTTTTTTATAGCGCCAAATCAAAACAAGAGTCGTCTCAAGGCACTTCACACAGTAAACATTCCAATACAGGTCAGTTCAGTAAGCCAATCAGTAAAAAGTTTCCTATATAAGGAACCCAGCAGGTGGCATCAAGTCACTGACTAGTGCAGAGTCTTTACAGCAATCCTCATACTAAGCAAGCATGCAGCGACAGTGGAGAGGAAAACTCCCTTTTAACAGGAAGAAACCTCCAGAGAATCCTGGCTCAGTATAAGCAGCCATCCTCCACGACTCACTGGGGATCGAGAAGACAGAGAACAAACACACACACACACGCACGCATGCACACACACACGCACACACACACACACACACACACTTATACCAAGTAATGTTTCTATGGTTACATTGTGATTTCTTAGTAAATATTCTATTTGGTGAGAGATAAACTTTATTGTATTTATCCTAGTGAATCTATAATTAAACGGGTAAACTAGTAGTAGCACATTCAATGTCAAAGACTTGACATTGTCAAAGAAAGTAAACTGTTATGATCCATGCCAGCTGAACATGAAAATAGTCTCCTACACCTATCTCCTGCTTTAGCTTCTAATAGAAAACAGACGGTAAATCTCTAGGATTAGTGAATCCTGACAGATCTATGCCACACTGTCACTAACATTCATGGACTCACCTATCTTGGCTCATGACTGTTGTTGGATTAGCGTCCAGGAAACAGCAGAGAACTAGTAGAAGCCAACAATTAGCATTAGCAACTCCACCATACAGCAGAACTCCTCCAGGCTTGTGTTATTTTTGGAGATAAAACATCCACATTGCAGAGCAAACAGTCTGTGCGTTTACATGCACATCAGAAAACCGAAGTATTGCCTTAAAAAGACTTGCGTCGTTTTTTTAAACGGCACATAAACGTGTTAGTCTGGCTGAAGGCGAACTGCTTCTAAATGTGCTGAAGGACCCAGATAATGCTGTATAATGTGATTACATTCTGCATGTAAACAGGTCAGCCGAGCTAAAGCGGTAAGACTCTCGCATTCCGTAAGTGACGAGACTGCAGTAGTGGTTTTCTGAGAAGACCATCGTCACAAAGCAACACACGTAACACCATAAAAAAGGACAGTACGTACCAAGTAAGCTGTGCTGCACTGTTGTTGTACGCTCCTTCAGCCATTGTGCATTTCCTGTCTCATTTCCGTCTTCTTCATTCCCACCGGCCTCTGTTTACTGCAAGGCCCAATCTCAACACTCGCTCTGTGCCCAGCGCACTTCAGCAAAGTGCACTTGGAGAAAGTGCACTGTAAGACTTTGAGTGCGTAGTACACAAGTGTGCAAATAATTGCAGAATTGAGACCGGGAGCATTGCGTCATCAATCGCAACGCATGCTGGGATTCTGGTCGCTGTGATGCTTATCTCCAGCGGTCAATGGGCAATCAGGCGGGGTACACCCTGGACAGAGAGCCAGTCCATCGCAGGGCAACACAGAGACACACAGGACAAACAATCATGCACACACACACACACACACACACCTAAGCACAATTTGGACAGACCAATTAACCTAACAGTCATGTTTTTGGACTGTGGGAGGAAGCCGGAGTACCCGGAGAGAACCCACGCATGCACAGGGAGAACATGCAAACTCCATGCAGAAAGATCCCAGTCCGGGAAGCGAACCACGACCTTCTCGCTACAAGGCAACAGCTCTAACCGCTGAGCCACCGTGCAGCCCCAAGTCCAGACTAGTGATCTGTTATTTATAATTTTATAATTAATATTAAGTGAATGCACTAAACCCACAAATGATAGAAGATCAGATTAGATATTATTAATCATATTACGATAAATTATAAATAAGTATAACAGATAACTAATCTTAATGAAAACATGATATTAATAATTTTATTTTAATATTGATTATATTTCATTTCTAAGGTTTGGATGTCTGTGAACATTACAGAATATTCAGGTTGGTGTAAAGAACATGATATTATTAATAACAGGTCACGATCTAAAGCTGGTCTGAGGTATAAAACTCTGCCCTGGGCCTAAAGCCCTGCAGATACATTTAGTTTCTATAAACAACAACAACAACAAATAACAGCAGCTGGATTCTACTTTGTGCCTTAAACTGAGTCACGTAGTTTTGCAAGTTCTGCAGCTCACACGTTCAACATGGAGCTCTGCCAGCTGATTGGTTCTTTTGGTATCTAGTGCAGTTCTGGTGCTGAGCAGCATGGATGCATCAGCGGATTTCACTGTAGCCTGTGTTCATAATGGATTAAGAAAGGACAGGAAAACATTGTTAACTCAAATATATCATTATAATGAACATGTATAGATACTTTATCATACATACCTACCAGCCTGTAACTCTACTTTTCCCCCCTAAAAATGCACCAGACTGATGCGTTTAAATATAAAATGCTCAATGTTTTTTTTCCTGGGGGGGGGGGGGGGGGGGAATGCCGCAGGACCCCCCCTAGAGGGCTTTAATACTTATCATCTTTTTTACCTCAGAGAAATCTCAACACCCACACTTTTAAACACTGTGTTTGTGAACGGGTTATTCCAAATTTTTCAGAAACAAGAATACTGACCTTAAAACCAATCAAAACCCGAATAGCGGCTGTGTGTAAACAATGTGAGCCCCCCCCCCCCCAATAATTTTCAGTCAGATGCTAATTTTTTGTTTCAATCCCTGGTCTATGTGTGAATGCGATGTTATTAGAACTTCCATATCTGGGAAAGCTGGTTTCTGGGTGTAAAAGAATTTGGTTTGCGTTAAGCAATGAAGTTGATTCTTATCAAAAGGCATCAGGCGCTATCTGTGTGTCTACTTCACCCGTCCTCGGAGACCCTCTTCGTGGATCCGAAGGTCAGAGAGGTCGGATGACCTCTGGCACCGAGGGCTGTAGAAACCGTAGTACCGACTCTTCAGTCCAGAGATGTCTTGGGTCATAATAGATGGATGGAACCGCGCGTCTGGGACTCTTTAAGAAGTCGGAACAATATCAGCTTGTTCTGCAGGAACCGTTTGCTGTATCAGCTTCGCAGGTGCAAAAAGATTTTGATGGTGTGTCAAAAGCTTTGATGGGTTAGAGAGGTTTTGCTTCAGATGGCTGGTCTGAAGCTTTCTCAAGAACTGAGCTGAACTGATCAATCACCAGAGTTGTAGCATTTACAAATTGATGATCTAATGAGCTTTGAAAGAAAAGCGTCTGGACTTCTTTGAGTTGCTTGAAGACGTTTCACCTCTCATCTGAGAGGCTTCTTCAGTTCTAAGGTCAAATGGTGGAAAGTCCCAGATTTAAACCCAGTGGGAGTTTCCCCCCGAAGAGGGAACAAAAGACCCCCTGATGATCTTCTATATAAACACATGAGCCAAGGTGTGAAGGTGGGTGTGGGTCCTATTCAGCCAGAGTTTCGGGTGAGCTCATTGTGAAGCCTGGCCCCACCCTATCATGTGAATTCCTGAGGTCAGATGGCCCAGGATATGCGTGAGCGTTGAGGCATCTGGGAAGGGATCTCAAAACTGGATTATAGATGGAAGACAGTTGGTGTCGTAAACCACCGGCGCTGTTCAAAGATGGTTGCTCACAGTGGACATAAATGGCTTCCTTTACTCCTCTTTCAAACCATCTGTCCTCTCTGTCCAAAATGTGAATGTTGGCATCCTCGAAAGAGTGACCTTTGTCCTTTAGATGCAAATGAACTGCTGAGTCCTGTCCCGTGGAGGTGGCTCTTCTACGTTGTGCCATGCGCTTGTGAAGTGGCTGTTTGGTGTCTCCGATGTAGAGGTCTGGGCATTCCTCGCTGCACTGTACAGCGTACACCACATTGTTCAGTTTGTGTTTAGGAGTTTTGTCTTTCGGGCGAACCAGTTTCTGTCTGAGTGTGTTGCTGGGCCTGAAGTACACTGGTATGTTGTGTTTGGGGAAAACCCTCCTGAGTTTCTCTGATACACCGGTAACATAGGGGATGACAAGGTTGTTGCGTCTGTCTTTCTTATCCTCCCTCGTTGGTGTCTGGTCTTCTTTTCTGTGCATCTTTGCTGACTTTATAAACGCCCAATTAGGATAGCCACATGTTTTAAGTGATTCCTTTATATGTGTGTGTTCCTTCTTTTTCCCTTCCGGCTTAGAGGCAACATGTTCTGCCCGGTGGTGTAAGGTCTTGATTACTCCAAGTTTGTGTTCCAGAGGGTGATGTGAGTCGAAGAGGAGGTACTGGTCCGTGTGTGTGGGCTTCCGGTACACTTCAATGTTGAGGTTGCCATTTACTTCAAAGAGCACAGCGCAGTCCAGGAAAGGCAAGCAGTTGTCCTTTATGTTTTCCCTGGTGAACTTGATGTTTTTGTCCACGGCGTTGATGTACGTAGTGAAGGATTCCACTTCTTGTGTTTTGATTTTGACCCAGGTGTCATCCACATATCTGTACCAGTGGCTGGGTGCTCTCTCTTTAAAAGAGCCAAGAGCCTTTCTTTCCACTTCCTCCATGTAAAGGTTGGCTACAATAGGTGACTCGGGGGAGCCCATGGCACAGCCATGTTTTTGTCTGTAGAAACCTTCGTTGTATTTGAAATATGTAGTGGTGAGGCAGAGGTCTAACAGTGTGCAAATCTGATCGGGTGTGAAGTTGGTCCTGTCCTCCAAGGTGCTGTCTTCTTGTAGTCGTTCGGTGAAGTACAAGCAACTCAAACAAACACATCTTTTGGACCGGGGAAAGTCGCTACCGTGTGGTCAAAATACTGGACCTGGGTGCCCCGAGGTCATCTGACCTCCCTGACCTCCAGATCCTGACAAGGGTCAG